GCAAGAAACAAAATGTAGTAGCAAGAAGCAGTGCTGAAGCGGAATTTAGCGCTGTGCCACAAGGGAGATGTGAAGGACTATGGATAAAAAAACTTTTGCAAGAACTACAAATCACAACAAAGCAGCTATCAATATTTCTCTTAATCCGATTCAACACGATCGAACCAAACATGTAGAAATGGACAAGCACTTCATCAAAGAAAAGGTTGAAGACAGTTATTTGCATGACCTATTTTCCCACTAAAGAACAAACTGCAAATATATTTATCAAAGGACTACCTCGACAAAGATTTGATGATTTCATTGGCAAGTTGGACATGGTTAACATTTACCATCCAACTTGAGGAAGAGTGTAGAAATTTGAAAATTTTTATAGTATAATCCATTGTTCCATATTTAGATATTCTCATAATTAGGGAAACGGTAATTAGGTTGCTAATTTAGGATAATTCTCTCTCCTAATTTAGGATATTCCTTTCCATTTTTTCCTTTTCCCTTTGTACTATAAATCACGTGCTGCTTGTTTAGCTATTCAATACACAAAAATACAGAATTTATTTCTGCTTTCAGAAACCAAACTATGCATAGAAAAGCACAATATCAGTACTCCGATCCAGAAGATCATGTTAATTTTTAAAGCTTCATAATCCAATTGAAGGAGCAGTTAATAATATGAAATGATAGTGATACTACTGACGTGATGATAAAAACAGCAATTCTTGATATAAAAAAAGTTTCATATCAGAAATAGAGGACTTCTCTGGTACAGCGAGGACCCATGAGAGCAATTGGCAAAATCAGCTACTTACCCAGCAGAAATGCAGGAGACCATTTTCACTAGCAATATTCCTAGACAGCTTTTAGATATACATTGCATATCATTAATTTTTATTGAGAAGATTTAAAGAAACCTGAAGTGCAGGGAAGAATAATGATTCTATCAAAGCAGGCTTGTGATAACCTAACCGAGGAGCCACATCTCGCGTCATTCGGAAGTAAGGATCCTGAAAAATAACCAAGTCAAAATTAACGCCCAAAAAAAGGAAAAGTCAGGATAAACAGATTAGAACATTAACTAGATCAACTAGGAAAGGAAGACGGGGGCCAAGCACGAATAACACATTAATAGCTAGAAAGCTGGACCAGTTCCTTTTTCCTTCCTGACTTTATAACAAATAAATGTTGAATTGAATGAAAAGAATCATCAAGAGAGGAGAAGTGGAGAAGCTAAAAACTGATCAAACAGAGCTAAGTTATCGCTAAGAGTCATTAACCATAAAATTACAAAAGTTAATAAAAAGTAATGGCATGTGGATAGTTCAAATGACACACCATAACAAAAGAGGAGGATCCCCGGACATAAACTATTGCTGATAATCCAAGTTGTATGTCCTCTAAAAAGGCCAACGTAAAAATCACCAATTCAAGTGATAAAAAGATAAAACAACCAGCAAGCACTCCTTAAAATCAGTCCACTACTCAATATGAAACAACTTCTCCTAACCACTTACGTCCTCTTGTGATGCTATGAATTTATGTTTTAGATGTATTAAGTTTGTGTCCCACTTACAAGCTGATCCTCTGATTCTTTTGGCAGGACTAGTACAAGTGTTACAAGCAAATGAGTAAACAATGAGTAATATGACGTCTCTTGACAGGATAACATCTGTTAGCTTCCAAATATATGAAACAGATGTAAATATCAACGTTTGCAAACATAATTTCAACAATCTCTCCATAAATGATTTCGTAATTAGGAAAAGCTATCCAATTAAAAGTTTACATTGAGGAAAAAGGAAAACAAAAGTGTTAGTTTGAGATACAAGAACAGACTCAAATTAAACTAAAACCTATCAACAAGTGCACAAAGCACACAAATTCATTTTTTTTTTTGATAGGTAATCACGTAAATTTTATAAATCAAAAATAAAAGATAATACACAAGGAGTGCATTATCATGTTAAACAAGATAGAAACGATAAAAAATTCGGCAACCCTTCTATCGGACT